GCAATGAAGGCTAACACCATACAGTCGATAAAGGACCAAGTCCCATTCCATTCCCAATTTTTCAAAGGTTTAAATTGTTAAAAACGTTAGGATGATGTGAAAAGAACCATCCAAAAGATTTTGAAATTATCTCACTTTCAAGCAGTTTCTGTAGCCGACGTGTGTGTATAAAGGCGACCACCGTTCAGTCATATAACAGCGCTTCAAACTGCACTCTTCCATTCACGTTTCACTACAGTATACAGTATCATTAGACTAAGATAGTTGTAACGATGTGATTTCGATTACATGAGAGTTGACAACACAGCACTGGTATCAGAGTGGTTCCTTGCGTTTATGCTGTCTGGCAATCCATGAATTTTCAGAAGCTACAGTTGTATTTCGTAGCCACAAATTATATCTAAAGCGCTGCACCATGCCATACCTAAAGCGCTAGTTTAAATAAACTCTATAAACCTCCATAAAACCGTTTTACAGCATCTGCCAATAAAGCGAGCAGAGGATTTCCAGAAAAAAATTGCAAGATTTTAAGCGAATATATGGCAAACCTTAGTAAGTCAAGTATCGAAAGTCTAGCAAAATAAAAAAGTCTAAGCAAAAATATATTTATCGACATACAAAATAACGATGCTTTTCTCTAAAACAAACCTTTTACGAAGAAAGAAACGAGTTCACCGTGATAACAACATTTTAGCGTGTCCCATTTCGGATAACCCGCGAAAAATAAGATAGTCCAAACAACAGAAATTCTTACAGCTTGGCTCATTACATTTGGCAAAAAAGCTGATCTGACAACAATTAGGTCTCCATTTTACTAGTTGAAGACCTTCTCAAAGAAACCTATCGCCATACTGCCTTCACACCAAATGAAAATAAAGCAAGCTACATTAACTTCCAACGAACCACGAAACATATTCAAAAGCAGCGACAGAATTTTTCGAAAAAAAATGAGAAAACAAATGATAGCAAATGATATCTGACGCATGCCTTTATTCGCTCTCATCAGCGCTATCTCCCGCCTCTTCTTTGGCTTTTTTCGTTTTGTTTTTAGCATTTTCCGCTTTCTTAGCATCACGGCTTGCCTCTTCAGCATCCATCTGCTGGTCCAAGCCTTTCGGAGCTACCAAGCCGTCCTTAAATTGTATGATACACAAAAGAAAAATGCAACAAAACTCCATGAAAAAATTTAGGTATTTTGTCCTCAAATCGGAGCTTGGTTCAGCTCTTCGCATTCAACCAAACTTTCCAAGTTGAAAGGATCGAAATTAGTATGCGTGCCAATGCGAATTTTGGCAGCATGACACATCCTTGTAGAAAAAATGGATTTGATTTTTTAAAATATTATCATGAGTCTGACTTGCAGTTTTA